GGCGCTGTCGTGCAGCAGTGTCGGAACTTCATGCGAGGCCGATTCGCAATCGGCAAAACCAACTGATCACAAGAGGGGTTACCACACAGGGCGATTGGTAAGACGTGTATGGTTTACGAGCTTGGTTGCCACACCTTGGGATTAAAGGGCCGAGGGAGTACTCGCAGTTTGGGTTACCACGCCTTGCGATGGATGTGCGTGAGGGGTGGCACCGAATTTCAGAAATGTGGCAAATCCCCTGTGTTGTTTGACCCTGGCCCCGCGGATCTGAGTGAGGGGTGGCACCGAATTCCAGAAATGTAGCAAATCCCATGTATTTGGGGACCCTGACCCCGCGGATCTGCGTGAGGGGTGGCACCGAATTTCAGAAATGTGGCAAATCCCATGTGCTTTTGGACCCTGACCCCGCGGATCTGCGTGAGGGGCGGCACCGAATTTCAGAAATGTGGCAAATCCCATGTGTTTTCTGACCCTGGCCCTGCGGATCTGCGTGAGGGGTGGCACCGAATTTCAGAAATGTGGCAAATCCCATTTGTTTTTGGACCCTGACGTCGCGGATCTGAGTGAGGGGTGGCACCGAATTTCAGAAATGTTGCAGATCCCTTGTGTTTTTTGGACCCTGACTTCGCGGATCTGCGTGAGGGGTGGTACCGAATTTCAGAAATGTGGCAAATCCCCTGTGTTTTTGGACCCTGACCCCGCGGATCTGCGTGAGGGGTGGCACCGAATTTCAGAAATGTGGCAAATCCCGTGTGTTTTTGGACCCTGACCCCGCAGATCTGCGTGAGGGGTGTTGATTCCGAGCCCCCCCCAGCAATTCAGACAACGCGCCCAGGAGGTGCTAAAAAGTCCTGTTTGGGCCTCCCCCCCCTCGCGCGGTCAATCAATTCTTTACGCTTCGCGTACCCCCACCAGCCCATCTCGCAACAACAACTCTTGCGAAGCATGCCGACAGTCGTGTTTTTCAGGCGTGTGTCCGCTTGGCCCCGCATATCTCCCCTGTTCCTCCTTCCTCCCGCCTCCTTGTACATCCTCCTTGTGGGGGGAGCGGGAGAAGGACGAGGCGGAGGAGGAGGGAGAGAAAGCGCTCCTCGTGGTTTGAGTCGTTTGGGGTTTCTCGTCCTGGTGTGAGTCGTTCGGGCCCTTCTTCCTGGTGTGAGTCGTTCGGGCTCTTCGTGGTGTGAGTCGTTCGGGCTCTTCGTCCTGGTGTGAGTCGTTCGGGCTTCTCGTGGTGTGAGTTGTTCGGGCCCCTCGTCCTGGTGTGAGTCGTTCGGGCCCCTCCTCCTGGTGTGACTCGTTCGGGCTCCTCGTGGTGTGAGTCGTTCGGGGCCCTCGTCGTGGTGTGAGTCGTTCGGGCTCCTCGTGGTGTGAGTCGTTCGGGCGCCTCGTCCTGGTGTGAGTCGTTCGGGCCCCTCCTTCTGGTGTGAGTCGTTCGGGCTCTTCGTGGTGTGAGTCGTTCGGGCCCCTCGTCCTGGTGTGAGTCGTTCGGGCTCCTCGTGGCGTGAGGCGTTCGGGCACCTCGTCCCCTTTTGGGGCGTCTTGGGGGCCTCTTGGCGGCCCCAGGGGCTTCTAGGAGCGTCTTGGGTGCCTTGGGGGAGCCTCTTCGGGCCTCTTGGGAGCCTCTTGGAGGCCGTTTGGGGCGTCTTGGGGGCCTCTTGGCGGCCCCAGGGGCTTCCAGGAGCGTCTTGGGTGCCTCGGGGGAGCCTCTTGGGGCCTCTTGGGGGCCTCTTGGGGGCATCTTGGAGGCCTCTTGGAGGCCTCTTGGGGGCCTCCTGGGGCCTCTGGGGGCCTCTTGGGGGCCTCTTGGGGGCCTCTTGGGGGCCTCTTGGGGGCCTCTTGGGGGCCTCCTGGAGGCCTCTTGGGAGGCTCCTGGGGGCCTCTTGGGGCCATCTTGGGGCCTCTTGCGACCTCCTCAGAAGCGCAAGTGAGCGCTGCCCCCTGAAAAGGACAAAAGGAGCCCAAAACCTTCGTAAAATCAATGATTTTGCTATGAAGGAAGATAAGCGCGGCCCCCTCAGGAGGCCAAAATGGGGCCAAAACCGTAGTAAAATCAATGATTTTCAACTAGTTACAGTCACCAGCAAGAACCAGAACTGTAACACTGGAAACTACAAGCTACAACTGGCACAGGAAACTGCGAATCACGTGCCTACAGCCTGGTGGCCCCACAAGGGGGCCGGCGGATTTGGAAGGCGCCTCAAATCATTCACTTGCGCAACAAGAGAACGCGCCGCGAAACGTGAACTACTTGTTGCGAGCGGGGAGCACCGCGGATGAAGCCAACGCGCCTGGTCGCTGGACTCGCGCCGGCCGAGGAGTTAGATCGCTGGCGCAAGCTCTGAAGGGGGAGTCGCTCCAGGACAGACATGCCCCGCGCGCCCTTGGCGGGCAGGGAGAAGCAGGGATTTTTTTTCAGCACGAGCTGTCGACGAATATCCCCAGCGCTTTTTTCCTAGACCATAGCTTTTAAAAGCGATGTGTCATTCTAAATGCCAGCCCCAGAGCCCAATGATCACAAAACCTTCCACCACCCAGTAGACATGTCGGCACTCTGGTAGCGAAGTCGCTTCGCTTCAAAATGCTGCGAGCATCGAGAGCACTGTCCTCGAAGGCCAGCGGTGCACACCGCTTGAGATAATCAACGCACTGCGCTGGCCGAAATAAAATGTCGCCCGCCCACCGTCGTCGGCTTTTGCAATTTGGAGAGCGTTTCAGGCTGCGCAGAAAGCGGAGGTTACTAGAGCTTGAACGTTTTGCCTCACCGTTGGGCCCGTAGCGCGCGCGGCTCCCACCCACCTCTCTTGCGTTCTAACTCTTTGTCCTCTTTGTCCTGCGGAAGAGAGTCGCCTCGCTTCCGAATTCTGTGGGTCTTGAGAGCACCAGCCTCGAAGGCTGGTGGTGCACGCCGCTTGAGATCATCGACATTTTGCATTGCCCGAAGGAAAATGTTGCCTGCCAATCGTCGTCTTCCTTGGCCAATTGGATGGTGCCTCACGCAACGCAGAGGGCGGAGGCTCACTATCATCATCGCCGTCGCCACTATCATCTACATCGTCGTCATCGTCATATCATTATACCAATGTCATCGTCATCGTCATCGTCACCACAAGCAGCATCAACAGTATCATATGCACCGTTGCCGATGTCGCCGTCATCACCCCTGTCACCGCCACAATCCTCATCACCCCAGGGTGGATTGTCTTCTTCTCTCCCTACAGTCAGTGGGCGAATTTGCTAGTGAGAATTTTGACGAGGCGTGGCCATCGACATCCGTAGGACGAGAGTAGTTCCTCTTGAGACAAGAACTACGGCTTGAGGTCTTGAGCCGACGCGTACGAGATAGCCGCCGCCGGATCCAAATTCACTTTGCGCGGATCCAAATGTGGTTCTTGTTTACGTTTCGGTGGATCCGATTTTCGCCTGCACGGATCCGATTTCGGATGTTGTGGATCCGAGTTCCGTTACCGAGTTGGTTCAGGGATTTTGTTTCGGGGTCGAAAGTGGAGAGGCACCGCTGTATTTGCTCGGGGACGCCAGCGGAGGCAAAGACACGAGCGACCCGAGACTGCGACGAGTGGGAAAAAGGACTTGCACAGTATATCGAGCTTCGTTTGAATATGCAGGTGGTTGTCGCCGCGTAATCTTCCAGACCCTCAGCAGCCAGTCGCGAGAGGGGAGTGGTTTGCTTTCCTCACAGCTTTGAATGTTCTGACGGAGCTGGACTCTATATCACAGACAACGCCAATGTGTGTTCAGGATGGTGCATCGCTTGAACCTTTCTCCCATACGGAGAGAACGCCGATGTTTGGCATCAGATCGAAGCAGTTTTGCGTTCTGTGTTGTAAGCCCGCCTTGAGCTGCACGGTTTATGTGTACATTCCCACCAAGAGGCTGTTGACGTCTCGCAGGATAAAACCCTTGTTTTGTTGGTCGTTGGCGACGCAGTAGCGGATCACTTAGCGGGAGTAGCAGCAGCTTCAGTCTGCTTTCCAGGGCATTGCAGAGCTAGAGCTTTCCAGCATGAGAAGATGGCGCATGCCGTCCGAATGCAAATTCTCCTTAGCATTGCAGAGACCCTAACGGCAGAGCAGACCTTTGCTGCCGAGGAGCCCCGGGGAGCCCGTGCCCGGCACGCTGGGCCCAGGCCTCCTGCACCCCTGGTTTGTAAAGATTTTGGTGCCCAGCATATCAGGAGGGAAAGAATCACACAGACACAATTAATCGTCGACTCCCGGGAAAATATGCAAAAATATGGGAAGTGGGGGGGAAGACAGAAACCACAAAAATATGGGAAAATATGGGGAATCGTTTTGTTTGTGTGTATTTATTTGTGTGTCCTGGGGCCCCTTCAGCATAACCTGTCCGAAAGAGTAGGAGCTCCATCACCATTGACAAGGAGCGCGGATGGTTGGACACCCCATGCTTCGACCTGGGGACCATCGGTGGTCATTTGCTTGAGCTTCCCCCAGGATGTCGGGTGCACATCTGCGGGGGCTTGCACATCAGTCCCTCCTCCCTTCTCCCTCCTCCCTTCTCCATCCTCCCTCCTACTCCGCCTCCTTCTTCTCCTGCTCCTCCTCCTCCTCGTCCTCCTCCTCCCTCCGTCTCGCGTTGCCCTCTTTTCTCGCGCCCTTTCCGCAGCTGCCGCTTGCACGGAGAGGGAGGACGGGCGGCGTGGGGAGAGGAGGTTTTAACAGGGGCAGGCCACCAGCACCAGAGTGGCCAGGACGACCCCCGCGCGCCTGGCAGCAGGCAGCGCTGCGACGCTGCACCCAGCAAGGAAGGAAGGTTTGCGTCGTGCTGGCGCGGTGGCGACCCCACCGCGGGTGTTCAAGATTGAATGCCGCCAGTGGCGCAGAAGCGGCCAATACGGAACGAGTTGACGATCGAAGTGCCGCCGATCGTGGGAGGTTGAGCGGTCCACACGGTTTCAGGAACCGACGCCGAAGTCGTCACGACGCGAATTTGCCGCAGCTGATTTCCGCATCTGCGAGTTGGTGCGATTGGCAGCGA